CAAGACTATGTCGCTACCCCCCTTAGATATACAAGAATTTCCCACTGGCACCTATTGTTTGACAGGTCGTTGGAATGCCTAATTGTATAACTTTTTTGTGTTGGCACACATGTCAAAAATTATTAATTATGGCTGACAGAAGTGTTTCCTGTTTGATATACAGGGTGTTTTTTATATAAGAGTAAAAATTATCATAAACATTCTGTTATTTTCGATGGTAGATTTGTAACTTTGATCATCCCTAAAACTTGTTGAATCTCTTTATTTTAAACCAGGAAAGTTTAACGAATTTATAATTTCCTCCGTTACAATATTTAAAGATATTAAATAAATCCTAACCTCCAAAATGATACCGGCACTGAAAAAAAAGGACAGTTCCAAAAAATTCGAACTTTGAGCAAGAGCGCCTGCCAGTCGAACAAAAATTTCAGTATGCCTTGGTACTGAGCAATTTCAGTCGAATGCAATAATTGACTTTTAATTAATTAGGTTTTGCCAGTAGAACAAACATCACTTGAAAAAGTCGAACTAAATGCGCATTAATGCAGCCAGTCGAATAGAAACAACTCGTTATTTTCCACTCGGTTCACAAAAAAGCGCACCGGTTCATTTTTTTGAGTTCAACTGATTCCAACCGAAAATTCAAAAACTGATCCGGTTCGCACTGCTCTTACGAGTCGAAAACAAATTTTGCACCAAGTGTTAAAAAGGGCGCACCAGTTTCACCAGTCGAAAACGCTATAAAAGAATGTAGAATGCACAAATGTCAAATAACATAAAGTAGAAATGCACCAAATGAAGTAAACGTTAAAATATATTTGAAGAGAAAATCATTGGGTTCATTAAACAGCCCATAAACACGGGAGTGTTTGCGTCGTGCTTTTTTTTAAATGACTCCGCTAACGCAGTCAATCACTATCAGTGTTGAATGTTATCGTGAATTTTATTTTATGAACATTTTGTACAAGTCGATTTTGATGCTTCTTAATAAGAATTTAAAACCTAAATGGCTGTAAAAAATCGATATTACGTTTTTGAAAAATATTACCAATATTTCTTCTATAGTGGATATCAAATCTGTATGAAAACAAATGCATTATGGGTGTAAGTTTTACATCTCAAGTTAAAAAGCAAATGGATATTTATTAAAGTTACAGGACTGTCGCCATGAAAAGTGAATCACAGTATGTCCCATAAACGTATAAAATTTATTAGTAGTTCTTTGGTTTTTGTAATAAAGTAAAAAACAACAAAATGAACTCCCAAACTATAATAATACTGTATAATACACGGTGATATAATAGAAAATCAGAACGAATAAAATTAGACAGACCGCAGAATATTATTCTTCCAGTTAAGCATTGTTTTGAGAAAAATTCCAATTATTATTATTTACAGAACTTGTATTCAAAGGGATTCGCTTTTAATGTTCTTTCTAAAATATTTATAAATATTTATTTAAATAAATCCAGTACATAGTAAAAGTGTATTCATTTTATAACGTGTTTACCTATATAATAAATATTACATAAACAAAATAAAACATTTTTAATTTAATATTGATCATTTAAATCGTTTTAAGATTTTGAAACAAACATTAACTATGTATATACTTGTGTACGGTGTGTATTCAAAGTGCTTCACCAACATTAAAATGCATATCTGATCGTAAAAGAATGTTTAACCCAGGTATTTATATATGTTATGCATTCTACACAAGCAAATTATGCAAACAATCAATCATGGATAGACTAATCACTAGATACTTGTTATTATATGTAAAACACATTAATATGTAAAGAACGCGTTATTTGGTCATGAATGTTTTAATGATTTGTTGTTACTTTAACTGTTAGTTTCGGATACAGTGGATTCGCTAAGTTCTTAAAGAAATAGTAAACCTAGCTGTGTCTGTTAAGTTCATTACCAAAAATTCATAGTTCAAATGAACTGCTTATGTGGTGCACGCCTTTCTGTATCATCGCGGTATTTTGATGGTTCTTTCCAAGTTTCTTCTTCTTTTTCTTCTTCTTCCTCTTCTTATTCTTTTTCTTTGGCTTAGCGTTGCCTGAAGAAGAGTTTCTGTGCTCCTTTTACATTACATTCTATTTCCTCGCCATTTGCCTTAATTATTTTTGCTCCTACTTTCTCGTAATGACTTTATTTTATCAACCATATCTTTTCTTTTTGCATATCTTCCTGCTTCGGTTAGTTGCTTTGTAAATTTTCATTTAGTATTCTTTAAATGTGACCAGTTCATTTTACTAAGTTGTTTTTCATCTTATCTTCATCTCAATATTTTTTCTTAAATTCTTCTGGATTGCTTAATTTATGGGGATATCACTTTGTTTTAGAATTTCTCGGTTAGTGATCATGATTCAATTCCATAAGGTGTTAGTTCATGATATTTGTGTTTGTTTTGATTAATTTCTTTCCAAGGATGAATCTACTTATTTGATGATATATTTAATTGTGTCTGTTCTTATATTACTATTTCTGTTTTTATTTGCACATCACTGCTGAATTTAGTTTGTAGATAGTTATTGTCATTATGAAACAGAAAATAGAGCAAGAAGAATAAGAAAAAGATATAGGAAATATAATTAAAATAGCAACAAAAACGTTCTCGTAGAAATGACATACAAAACAAAAAATATAATAGGAGCAACAAAAAATTAAATAGAAGAAGAGAAATTAAAATGGATGGGACATCTTTTTAGACTGGATAAGTAAAAAAATTCTGGAAAGTGGAAAAAATTGACAAAGATCTATAACAATAGCTTTGACAAGATAAAGAAGAAATGTAAACATGGGAAAAAGTCAGATACGTGCAAGTATATTCGTTGAAGTATAAAACGGCCTACACACGTAACGATTTATCGTACTGCATTCAGTACAATATCCATCGAAACTGTCGCATTAACGATAAATCGTAGCGTGTGTAGGGAAATTGGATGGTTTGCAGTATGCAGTCGTCAAATCGTTTGCAGTAGGGAGCTTCCGTAAAATATCGTACCAACGGGTCGTGTTTGGGGTGGGGTTTGAACGCAAGTCTGAACGTGTGGAGTGTATTTCTGCCGCAGCGCGCAGTTACGATATAATTTTTATTTATTTTTGGTTTAATCAATATTATGGATTTAAAAAATAAGACGTTCTGGGAAGACTTTATTGATTTATACAGAGAAAATAGATGCCTATGGGATGTGAAATCAAAAGATTATGCAAATAAAATGAAAAGAAATTCCAGTTATGAAATTTTGTTTAAAAAATTTAAGGAATTGTTCCCAGAAGCATCACAAGAAGTGATGAAAAAGAAAAAAGGCATCAGAATCCATACTTTAATAGTTTTTAAAATAAAGAGGTTCTTCTTTCTCCATCACTTTTAACAACCTCATATGTGAATATTTCTTTCTATCCAGCAACCACTTTTTACACCATTTTCGCTTTTTGATTTCTTTTGAACCGACTTCAAAAAAGGAGGAGGTTATCAATTCGTCGCGATTTCTTTTTTTTTTATGTATGTTCAGCGATTATTCTTTAACACGGTAACACGGTGTCCGATTTCAATGATTCTTTTTTTGTTAGAAGGGGGGTACTTCAGGGGTGGTCCCATATAAATTTTGTCAAAATCTAATAATTGGGTCCATGAGAAAATCCTCAAACTCTTCATTTTTTTATGTATGTTCAGCGATAATTTTTTAACACGGTGTCCGATTTCAATAATTCTTTTTTTGTTAGAAAGGGGCTACTTTAGGGGTGGTCCCATATAAATTTAATTAAAATCTAATAATTGGATCCATGAGAAAATCCTCAAACTCTTCATTTTTTATGTATGTTTAGCGCTAATGCTTTACCACCTTGTCCGATTTATACGATTCTTTTTTTGTTAGTAAGGGGGTACCTCACGGGTAGTCCCATATAAATTTGGTTAAGATGTGGTGATGGCATCTGCACGTTTTTGAAGTCGGTTTTTTTAAATTTTTAATTTGTAATACTTGTTGTTCATCATCTTCATCAGCAATACCGCAGCTACAAGCACGGCAGCTTTTTTCTTTGAAATTCTTGACATAACGGTAGCCCTTCTCGACGAAAACTGAATAATCTGAACTGCGGCAGTACAATGTGTTGCATCGTGTGTACAAAAAATGGCTGTACTGCCAGCCGTACGATTTTCTTTACGATCTGCAGTTCAATGCGCAGTACGATAAATCGTTACGTGTGTAGGGCGTTTAAGATATGGTAAAAGAGGATGAGATGATGATATGTACTACATTATAACTAAAACTTCCTATTAAATTTTAGTATCGAAATATTCTATTAATTATATTTCCATACATATTAACCAGCTGATTGACAGGATAGCAGATATTTTTATCGGGCAGGTATAAACTGGAAAATTCTGGAATATGCTAAATAAATCTTATTTGTAATAAGTTTTACGCTTTCACGTTTCTACAAAAAATAATAAGAGCAGTCCATCTTGGACATTGTTTTGCTTTACAAATAATCAGGCAAAATATTATGTATGGTTACTTGTCCACAACGCTATACTTTTTAATTTTATATCCTTCATCATTATCTCTTCGATTTTTAGTCTATATTCAAAAGTCAGTTACTTAATTACTTATAAAACCAATCAATGAAGCGTAGAATCAACTTGTTATACCAATTTAGGTTGGTCTCTGTAAGTATCAATAGTTTTTACCTTTCAAGGTACATTTAATCGCCATTCGTTCTCTTTTTTTTTGAAAATTAAAAAAACACTTATCTGATCCTAAAAATGATTTCATTGAATTCGCACCATTTCTTTTAAATTGACTAATTGAAAAGCCCTTGTGGTGAAAAGGTAAAGATTACAGACACTACCGACAGCTGCTAAAATATCGACTCAAAAAGCAGGTGAGAAAATTGTTGTAATAAATTAGATACTGTTAACACGGCAAATAGAATAAACCAAAATGATTAGAAATCATAATACATATAAGTGAATAAATACTTACTGATAATCGTCCTCATCTTTTTTCTTAGGTTGATAACTTTTGACTAGTCTCCTGTAACAAAAGAAAATACAATGACTCACTTAAAAAAAAAAGGTTTAAGATTGAGAAACTGAATACTTATTAATTTTATTTTTTAGAAAAATGGCTTTATAAAAAATTAGTTACCTTTAGGACAATAATTTTCTCAAAAAAAAATTCAGAAATTACAAAAACATGTTCGAAATTAAAACGCAGTAGATACACTTGAAATTACGTAAAATTTAAAATAAGGTATAATACAAATTACAAATTATTTTAAACAAAGGTGAAACACACTAGGACCTGTCAATTTTTATTTTATTCGAGGCTTTCTATAACGAAAAAATATGCCTCCCTTTCGTCCCCTTCACGTGACAGCCACTCTCTCATTTTTTTTTTTTTAAATAGCATGCGGGGTCCTGTGATGTGGCACTTGGATAAAAGGGACTTAAAAAGCGGAATTCAAAAATGTATCACACTTAATAATCTAAACCTGTCAAAATAAGTTATTTTTATCAGGTTTATAATGTACTCTTTTAAATATCAACTTGTACGTCTAGTTTTTTTGACAAATGTCCAGAAGTAAACATTATTTTTATTAATTATTTGTTTTATTGGTTAACTTTTCTGAGTTACCTTCGAGCGGGACACTAGGAGGTTATGAAGATAATCACTCTGCCGAATCAGGTTCACAGTACCGGTAGCAGGAAAAGGATATCAGCTACTATGCCCACCTGTCGAACAGCAACGGAGACGTTTAAACGTATTATGTTCAATTACAATAATATGTTAATCCATGGATCTTTCGAAATAAAGATGAGACGCTTAATTATATTTGTAGGCGAGCGACATAAGCAGAGACTCTCGTGATTCGGATGCCTACCTGCCGTGATTAGTCAGATTGATACACCTCTACCACAGTGGGCTGGCGCGCACTGTTCTACGTCTGTCTAATATCGTTTATTATATACCGTTCTTCTGGCGCAATTGTATGAAAATTAACATACTGTACATCTTATTTAGAAAATTCCTTTTCCTTACTACATATTCAATACTAGTAACAATTCTTCGGGAACACCAATTGTTTCAACATTATATGCCAAAGCGTACGAATCTAAGAGACACCTCTTGACGTGTGGTATTAGAGAGAGAAGACAATCGCTTTGCATTTAAGTCATTGGAAAGAGAGAAATGGAACACAAAAAATATTATTTAAACCTTAACCTTACATTTCATTTTATCTTCTGTCGAGTGCATATAGGAAAGCGCTAGTCAACTAGAAAAGTCATATATTTTATAGATTCTCTTTGGTTATTTAAGTGTTTGTTAAAAGTTTGGGTTTTGAGTTACAAAAAAATGAAACATATCAAAGACGGTCCTGTGCTCGCGAATCCAGATGTTTATTATGAGCATCTGTAATTAAACGTCTACGTGACAATAATCGCGTTCGCCAAGTTGCATCAGTGCAAAACCTCTCAAGGCCAACTAGTTTCGGACACGTAGACATGTATTTGGACCAGTTCCCTTAACAGAAAAGGGAAACAAATACTTGAAGGTTTTTATGAACTACTTTTCAAAGTGGCCAGAAATAGCGCCTATTCCTAGTCAGGAAGCGACGATAGTAGCAAAAGCATTTATGACGAACGTCATAGCCAGCCTGAAATTGCATTATGACCAAGGACGAAATTTTGAATCCGAATTATGACAAGAATTCATGAAATTGTTAGGCATCAGGAAAACGCGCACCACGCCTCTCCACCCACAGTCCGATGGAATGGTAGAAAGAAATCATAGAACTATATGCCAGTAACTTTCAATGTTCGTCTCTGATACCCAAAAAGTCCTCTATTTCTGCTAGCCTACCGAAGTTCTGAACATGAATCGACCATTTTTATACTCCATCTATGATGCTTACTGGAAGGAAGATGAAACTTCCCCATGATCTCCTTTTTGGAAGGTAAAGAAGAGGGCCGTACTCCTCCTAAATACAAAAATAACTTAAGAGAAAGATTAGAAAAGGTATACGGATACGCTCGGGAACGTTTGAAAACCAACAGCGATAAAGCAAAAGATAGAATCTACATGCATGCACAGGGGCACATTTTTAGAGAGGCGATCCAGTATGGCAGTATAATCCTAAGCGCCGAACAGGACTTTGTCAGAAACTGTAATGGATCTGGGAAGGCCTACACCGTCCTCAAGAAAATCAACGAACTGATCTACCGTATTTAGTTGTCCGCGGGAGATAAACCCAAGGTAGTTCACATTGAAAAGTTAGCGCCATACCGTGGTCCATATTCTCCCCGTTGGCTCCAACCAGGTCCCAGTAATCAAGTTATTCGGGAAGAATAATTAGAGCAGAGGGAGCAATGTTACCTTGCATCCTGGAGTAGCCTACGGCTGTTATAGAAAACGTACGAATAAAAGCAGAAGTACAATGTCACCCATCACCCGACAGTGTCTCCCGTCAATTCATCGCGCGATAATTCAGAGCCGACATTTCATTGTTACGACAATAATCCATTGCGTGACAATTCATCCCAACAAAAATAAAATAAAAAGTTCAAAAAGGAAAAACTTGTATTTCGTGCAAAACTTTTTTATTAATCAATGCAAAGCGCTTTCGGCTTATTTGCCATCATCAGTGCTCATCTACAAAAATTGTGGATGTAAACTTACAATTTAAAAAGATTTAAAAAAAAATATATATTATAAAATCTGAATTAGACTTTTAAGTCAAAAGTTAAAATAGTATATATACAATTGTTTGAACAAATTAAAAATTACAAGAAACAAACAAAGTGACAAAAAACTGGTATTGGGAATAGTGAGTGTGGGATAAGCCCTTACAAATCAAATCTGATCTCCAGAAGCAAGTTAGCTTGTGTGGAATTAAGGAATCATGCCACCCTCACTATTCACAAAATTGAAAAAAGGTTAACAAATTAGTTAAAATTTAAAGAAATTTACAATTAGAGGGTGACTGTGGAAGATATATTGAAATTTGAATCTAGAATGCAATATTTGATATGAAGAAAGTAAAACGCAGAAGGCCAAAGTAAAAAAAACTGAAGGTTTTTTTTATGTTTTATATACATTATAATTATGAAAAAGTCTACCTACTGTCCACAACGTATCCAACAAGTTCCTGGTCATCCTCACTCCCAAAATTATATATTTCGGGATATTTACAACTTGCTAAATCATAATTTTATTAATATTAATATTTTCAAATTTAAATTTATCTCTTCATTTTGGTTCAAGTTGTTTAACCGTTTCCACATGACAGTGGTGACAAGCGACACTTGAAGACTTTGACTTGTCAAATGTCAACAGAAGGAGGTGCGTTCACCTCAGTGTGGAACATGTTTCTCCGAGTGTGATTCGAGTGATTGGAGGTTAATGGAGATCAAAATTTGTTATTGAATTTAAAGATTTAATTTATTGTTAGTTAAATTTAAATAAATGTTTAATATAAAAGATATTATTATTTTGATGTCAAGACAAAACAAAAATGTCACTCGCGTGATTCAGATGTGTCAGCCCGGGCTCTGCAGAACATTCTTTCAGAGAACCCAAGATGGCACAACTGAACCCGCGGTCCCTAAAGGTGAATCTGATGTTTAGTCCTAAAAATTACTAAATCACTCAACAAGCGTACTCATGGTTAAAAGAGACAAAATAGAGAACAAAAAAGTTTTAAACAAAGGAGTACCATGGTCCCAAAGGTAGGCTCTGATGGGTGAAATCGAGTTTAGGAGGGGATGGCTCTCGAAGGCTTGTGTTGGGTGACTCGGACCTACATCATCATAGAGGGTTAATTGAGTTGTCTATGGAGTGGTATGAAATTTCTGTTAAGGTTCACTTGAGTGTTGAGACAGAGTATATTGTTGTCTCTTTCGAGAGTAATTTCAACATCTTCATGAAAATCTAATAAATTGAAATTTTTTGTGTTTAAGTTAACTAATAATTTGGAGTTTTTTGTTGGGCTGAAATTATGTTGATTGAACCTTAAGTGATGTCCGAATGCAGATGTGTCCGGCTTCTTGATGTGCTCGCCTATCCGGACTCCCAGAGATCTACAAGTTCTGCCGATATAACTGGCATCGCAATCGCTGCATTGCAACCTGTATACTCCACTCTTATCTAACAAATTCGTTTTGTCTTTTGTGTTGACTAGATGGGAGTCTAGTTTATTAATTGATTTAAAAGATACTTTGATGTTATCTACGTTGTTAGCAAAAATTTTTGAAATGCTCTTAGCTAAGTTATTTTCCCAGAAGGGGATTGATATGTAAAAATTATTAATGTGACTTAAATTGGGGTAGGCTAATTTTTGAATTTTCTTGAACTTAATTTTGGTGATTAGAGATTGAATTATGTCCGGGTCATACCCGTTGTTAAATGCAATTTGTTTAAGTATATTTAATTCTTGAAGATAATTAATTTTATTTAGAGGAATTGAAAGAAGTCTATGAATATAGCAATAGAAAGCAGACATTTTATGTTGGTGGGGGTGATTTGAAGAATAGTGTATCACGTGGTCTGTTTGGGTGGGTTTTCTATATATGCTAAATTCGAATTTGTTACCCTGTCTATAGACAGAAAGGTCCAAAAAGTTCAAACAACATTCTTTTTCGGCTTCCAGAGTGAATTTTATATTAGGATGAATAGTATTAATTGAGTTTAGAATATTAGAAGCCGTGTTGGCGTTACCATTTATTAAGCAAAAAATGTCATCGACGTATCTGTGGTAGATTAAAATATTTTTATGTTGTGGAATAATGTAACTAGTTTCTAAATGATTCATAAAGATATCAGCGATTAAAGGAGATAGGCCACATCCCATAGCAAGGCCATCCGGTTGTTCGTAGGTGATATTGTTAAAAGTAAAGAAATTTTGTGATAAGCACAAGTTTAAAAATTGAAGAATGATATATGTGTTATTGACTGAGAAGTTCAAACGTCTCTGTCAATAACACAAATATCATTCTTCAATTTTTAAACTTGTGCTTATCACAAAATTTCTTTAC